CTCAGTACCTGTGTTTCTTTGAAAGATTATTTGCCTCCTGAGAAGTAGTTCAAGCTTGTCAACTTGGTGGTCCCTTGAATTCTAAGACATACACTGAAATGCTTGCGACAAGGCTTGAACGCATGATGTTTAATTGGTTACAGCTTGTAACATTTTGTTTTTCGTATAGTAGTTTCAGAGGAATTTCAGCTCTGTTTGGTAGAGCTTTCTAACTTTAATTTTACCATTTGGTTTGAGTGTGGTGTTTAGTTATAATTTTCAAAAATTGATTCCACACCTACTTTTGCAAACACGTTTATCCCGTCATCCTCCTGGATGTCCGGCCGGTTGAGTGGAACAATGTTCGTTTTTTTTTTTTTTTTGGCACCTGTTATTTTTATATGTTAAATAAAAAATATTTTAAAAATATTTTTAAAAATTTTTATGAACTTTGAATAGAATTTTAGATAGTGTGCTTAGTTATGGGTTGTAAAATTTTGAATCAAATATCATGTCACATCAAAAAATTCAAAATCAATTCAAAACTTTTTTAAAATTCATAACTAAATAAATTTTCCACACTCAAATAATAATTCCAAAACTCACAAATTTAAAATATAACTCTATTCTCAAATCATAATTCTAAAATTTTACCAAACGCTAGCTTCATTTTCTATGTAATGTAACTTTGTTAGCAATTGAAATTGTTCATTTTCTATGTAATGTAACTTTGTTAGCAATTGAAATTGTTTCTAATAGGAAAATTAATCCAATATCTCATCTTGATGTAGATTAATGGTTTAATAAAACTTGAAATTTAGGATAGGATAACATTCTATGACGGAATGAGATTAGATTCCAATGTTATGTTTGGATGGTAAACTTGAGAAGTGAAATGAGAATCTCATTGTTATGGGTTGCATCAAGATGTGATTTTTTTTCATTTTATTCTCAAGGTGTAACCTTTTGTGCAAATTTCACGTTCTTAGAAGAATTTAAAATATTTTCTGTTCAAAAAAAAAATTGGAACTCCCACAAGGCTTGAGGGGTTAGAAATCCCCTTTTTCTTAATATATACTAGCACATCACCCGTGCTATACACGGATTGTGTTTACAATTATCTATATATGTGAATTGTGATTTTTAATTTTTTTTTTTATTTTTTAAATATCTTTTTTTTTTCTTTTTATATTATATTAAAATTTAATATTTTGATAATAAATCATATGTATTAAACTTTTCAAGGAATTAAATGTCTTTTTTATTATCATTATATTATATTAAAGTTTAATATTTTGATAATAATCATATATGTTGGACTTTTCAAGAAATTTTTTTTATGCTTGTTCTTAATGTATTAAAGTGTTATTATAAGGGATAATAATCATATGTGTTGGGACTTTTCAAGGAATTCATATGTGTTGGATTTCAAAGAATTTTTTTATGTATGTTCTTAATGCATTAAAGTGTTATTATGATGGTAAGACTTGGGAGTTGGGAGAAGTTAATAAATATTAAGATTTTTTTTTTAAAAAAAAAATCAAGAAATTTAGATTGGGAGATTGAAACTCCCACAAGTCTTGGGGTTAAAAACCCTCCTTTTACTTAATATATAGTATCGATTAATTTGTAACAAATTTTATATTTTAAATCTCTTCCATATTTATTTTTATTTTAATATTTTATATATTAACTAAACGGAGCGAGGCGATTTAAAAGAGAGGTTGTAAATTTTAAAATTTAATCGGTAATTAACAGATAAAACGATATATATCATATAATTTTAATGAGTCTGGTCTGGCTTTGTGTTCTTCGTTCAGGTATGAGACAAACTGTAACTGAGAAGCTGAAGAGATCGAATTTCTATATTCCCATATCATCTGGTCTGTTCGAAATTTGATTTATTAGGGCTTAACCTAACCTAGTAACCTGGTATGTTTCTCTGTTTCAGTCTGTAGAGTAGCTTCATCATTTTGTTCGTAACCGATGAATCGAACATCGATCAATTCTATTAACCAAATCATCCAAAGATCAATCTACTCTGCACCGACTTCAGAACCAGTTCTCAACACTAATTTTCTATCGAAATTGTCATTCTCATCATCATCGTCGTCAATTTCATCTCTCCAAATCCTAACAGATTCTCAAACCAAATCAATCTCAAACCCACTTTACAGTTTCCTTCCCCATACTCAAAACCCTAACAATATAGTCGATCTCATATGCTCCAATCTCAAACAACACAATACCCATTTTCCCATTGATCACAAAGACATTCAAGAGCTTCTTCCTCATCTAGGTACCCACGAAATTTCTAGGGTTTTGTTGAGATGCCAGTCTGATTCTTCCACAGCTCTCACTTTCTTTAACCGAGTCAAAAATGATTTGGGTCTTAATCCATCGACCCATAACTACTGTATTATTGTTCACATATTGGCATGGTCTAGGAACTATTCACGGGCAATGCAACTGTTATCTGAATTAATAGAGTTGAATAGAGATGTTTCGGCAAGTGGAGATGTTTTCCAAAGTTTGGTTCAGTGTACAAATGAGTGTAATTGGAACCCGGTTACCTTTGATATGCTTGTTAAGGCTTATGTTAAAATGGGTATGATTAAAGAAGGTTTGAGATCTTTTTGGAAGATGGTAAAGCTTGGATTTGTTCCGCATGTAGTTGTATTTAATAGTCTTTTAATATATTGACTAATGCCTTTTGCATGTAGTTGTACACCCCAATTCGTATACTTTTAATATATTGACTAATGCCTTTTGCAAAAGTGGAGACGTCGATAAGGTGAATGAGTTCTTGGAGAAGATGGAAGAAGAAGGGTTTGATCCTGATATTGTGACGTATAATACATTGATTGATAGTTATTGTAAGAAGGGGAGATTGAAAGGTGCGTTTTATTTGTATAAGATTATGTATAGGAGGGGTGTGATGCCAAATCTGGTTTCATATACTGCCTTGATGAATGGTCTCTGTAAAGAAGGGAAAGTGAGAGAGGCTCATCAGATCTTACGTAGGATGGTTCATAGAGGGTTGACTCCAGACATTTTGACATATAATACTCTTATATGTGGTTACTGCAAGGAGGGAATGATGCAAGAATCTAGGTTGCTGTTGCCTGATATGGTCGGGAATGGGATTTTCCCTGACAATTTTACCTGTTGGATTCTTGTAGAAGGATATGTGAAAGAGGGTAGGTTGCTTTCGGCTCTGAATATGGTTGTGGAGCTTCAGAGATTTGGAGTTTCAGTCTGTCGAGATATTTATGATTACCTAATCCTTGCTTTGTGTCAGGAGAATCGGTCATGTGCAGCAAAGAATCTCTTGGAAAGAATGTCTCAAGTTGGTCATGAGCCTAAAGAGGAAATTTACAATGAGTTGATCTATTCTCTATCCAAGTGTGATTTTGTGGAGGAGGCATTACTGTTGAAAGCTGAGATGGTTTCTAATAATATGAAACCCAATTTAGTTACCTATAAAGCTCTTATAGGCTGCCTGTGTAGGTTAAGTAGGAGTGTGGAGGGTGAGTCCTTAATGAGAGAACTGGTTGAATTTGGTGTGAGTCCTGATATTGCAACTTGCAGGGCTTTGATAAATGGATTCTGCAAGGAAAGGAATCTTGATAAAGCAGAATCTCTACTTGGTTCAATTGTTGAAGAATTTCAAATTTATGACATAGAATGTTTTAATGCACTCCTCAAGATTTATTGTGAGGCAGGTGATGTTGCCAAGTTGATGGAGCTTCAGGATAGGTTGCTGAAAGTGGGCTTTGCACCAAACAGCCTGACATTCAAGTACATGATAGACGGATTATGTAAAGCCACGAGATCAAAAACTGTGTGCTGTATGGGGAATGAAGAAAACAAAGGATAGGCTCTTGTAACCAATATCTCTTGAAAGCTCCCAAATAGAGTTTTATGGTGTCAGATTCAAATCAGTTGCTGTTGCCTTCAGATATGAGATAGTGGCACTTGATTTGTTGAATTGCTGTGTGCCCCAAGCAGCACAACTTTTAGTGGTAAATGAGGATCGTGCCAAGTGGCCTCCAGCAACTTGGACAGCAAGAGGCATTACCATGAGATCTAAATCTTATGCAACTGTGGCACTTGAAAATGTTCAGATTAGTTAAATGACAGTGAGCATAGAGTTCCAGAAGTCATTGAGAAGCTTGCAAACCTATGGGCTGTAAAAGTTGTGTACGGGGTGGTGGCATGTGCCATGGAGTTGGACAATCTACAACAACTTAGATCACTTAAAGACTGGTATGTGTCTCTGAGAATTATGCATCTGAGCTATATGCTTCTGTCAAGAAGATGACCAGGCTTCTCTCCCTTTCTTTTGCAGTTCCTTTCCAATTTAAACACCTCCACACACTACATGGAGCTAACTTACAACAGGAATTCCGGTGCTTTCATAATCTAATGATTGCAAGTATTTTGGAATAGAGGAATTTAGGGGCAGAAAATCCTTAGGCAACAGTATGGAGGCCTGATCAACCAATTTGTTGTCCTAGGTTGTATGAAAGATGTTAATATAATATGTAATGTATTAATGTGTATACAGCTAGCTCAGATAGATAGGATTCCTTAGATAGGATTCCTTTTCTTTTTCCTGCTTTCGGCCCCCCGTCTTCTTTCCGCCTCCTTTTCATTATTATATTACATTGTATCATAATGCTGTTTGTAACACAGCTCCTATATAATGGAGCCTCTATTTGGTTTCTGATATATATTGAATCACAGAGTTTGTTCTCTCTCAATATCCCTCTCTCAACTTGTTTTACAAAAGAAATGAGAGTTTTCCCATTGAAGCAGAAAATTCTGATGGCCAGGATGTTTGTAGCCTCCAAGATCATATTTAGACCCAACAACTTGTATGCAAATATATATATTTTTTGCAGCATAAAATCTGTATTCTTCAAGCTGTAATTCCAAACTTTGATGGCATGCAAAAATTTGAAGAATAAACTTTTTTTTTTAGCAAACCAAACCAAACCAAGCATTAAGTCCCATCAAATGGGAAACTTTTTTTTTTTAGCAATCCCAAATATATTGTAAAGCAAATGAGATTAACAAATTAATACTACACTGGTTCTGCTATAAAAATATCATCCTGCTAAAAAAGAAAAACTCTCCTTCAGCTTTGCACCTTCAATCATCACTCTTCTCTGAGGGATCCGGTTGTTGTTCTATTCCAAAAAAAGGGAAAAAATGGTGTCTCATTGGTACGGGCCTCAGTTATTGTTCATTTACAGTGGTAGATTGGAAGAGCATATAGGAGGCTCTTTAGCATTGGACATTATTAATTCTATTGATTAGTTACCTGTCATTTTAGCAGTGATTACACGGTATACCATTGGTAGAACCTGTAGAAGCTCTCCAAAGTAAGCTAGGGATGCACAAAATTTGGGAAGATACTTAAGCAAGTGGTATTATATATATAGCAGATTTAAAGAGTTGTGTACGTATTACATTCAACAGGTATATCAATACCAAAGAACATTCAATTTCTATAAATACACAATAGCATATCATGTATCAAATAGAGCTTCAGGAGGAACATGTCAATGTATTCATCTACTGCTGCATAGTATCTTCTCTGCCAACTTTTGCTGATGAAAAGAGGTGCAACGACACTCCAGAATCCCAAAACATACGAAATAGCCACGCAAGAATAGAAAAACAGAGGTTCATCGATGATCCCATCTTCCTCCATGTGCCTTTCTTCCTTTTTATGATCTTTACTGTTGTCATCAGGATCTTGGTGCTCAGGTGAGCATGGTCTTTGTAATGGTTCTCCACAAAGATTTGGATTCCCTATGTAGGCATGTTCGGTAAATGTGCAGAGTTGTTGACCGAAAGGGATCCTACCTGATAGATTATTGAAAGCAACACTGAAAACAGAAAGGAAATTGATTTGTCCAATTTCCCGAGGTATTTTACCGGTTAGATTGTTGTAGGAGAGGTCTAAACTTCCCAAATTTGTTAGGTTTTCAAAGGATGTTGGAATAAGGCCGGTCAAATGATTATGGGAGAAATTTAGTGAATGGAGTTCATGTAGTTCACCAATTTCAGGGGGAATAATACCGGACAAATGGTTGGCCGAAAGGTCAATGCCTGTCATGAGAGTGAGTGGCAGACCTTGGAAAGAATATGAATTACCTTTTGTGGTAAAATCAATTGGCACCCAAGAACTTGATTGGAACTTCCTCCTCCACACCAAATTGTTATTGAGACAAGGTGGAATGTTCCCCAAGAAGAAGTTGTTTGAGAGATCTAGGAACTGTATGTTTTTCATTTGACACAATTGCATAGGAATGTGGCCTTCAAATTGGTTTCCTCCAAGGAGGAGAGCTCCTAAATGAGGAAAGGTTGGTAATTGGTTTGAGATGATACCTGAAAGATTGTTTATACCAGCATCTAGAATCGACAAAGAGGGACTATTTGACAGGCAAGAGGGCATACTTCCAATAAAGTGGTTGTTACGAACCAGAAACCACCTCAACTGCTTCATATTACATCCTTGTGGAAGCAACTCGCCTTGTAAGCTATTGTTCGACAGATTTAGGTACCACAAGGAAGAGTTTTCTGTCAGGTGTCGTGGTACTTTTCCAACCAACTGATTGTTGGACAAATCCAGATGATGTAAATTTGTTAATTCGCCCAATGATGGAGGAATGGTACCGTTCAATCTATTGGTTGATACATTAAAATTGTATAGCTTTGGGAAAAGAGTGTCGATGTTCAAAGGCAATGGCCCCTCAAAGTGATTGCACGAAATGTCTAATTCAACAAGAGGGGACGCATCATTTCTGTAACCTTGAGGAAAATTACCGCTAAACATGTTGCTTCTCAGCCTCAAGACAGACGAAACATTGTGGAGCATCCAAACAGGAATGGACCCTGTGAGGGAGTTGCTAGACAAATCAAGGGTTTGCAGAGTATGCTGGGTCAAAATGAAACTTGGGATACCATGATCATTACTTTGATGGTTCAGATTACAGCCTGCCAAGAATAAATGTTGTAACTGGAATGAAGGTTGCCAAGCTGGAGTTTCAGTGTTGACTTGTATTAATGGGTTATAGGAAAGGTCGAGAAAACGGAGTTTGGAGAGATGAGCGAAACTTGACAATGGCACTGGACCTTGAAAATGGTTATAAGAAACATCAATGTGGTCAATATTTGTTAGATTTGTGAAAATTGAAGAGAGATTTCCCCGAAATTGATTCTTTGACAAGATTAGAGTGCGGAGTGATGAGATGTTGCTCCAACACGGATGGATATCGGCTTCAATTAAATTGTCTGATAGATCCAGCTGTTGTAGGGTAGGCAGTCTGCACAATGCTGCATAGTAAAATCAACTCACGTGTATCAAGATTGTCATATGGTAGCATGCCAATTAACAGATATACAGTACTACCCCCAAATGTACATACAAAGTGACTGATATCAGGGATGAATCTAGGATTCTATTTTTGGTCGGAGCAAAAACACATGTAAACTCCTAATCGGAAGAAGAAAAAAAATTGTTGCAATAGTTTGAAACACAATATTGATTTCTACCTACACCAAAAAAAATAATAATAATAATAATATTACTATTAACTAGATATTCCTTATTAACATAGTTGAGTATAAAAATATGATCATATAATTGAACATATTTTTTTTGTCTGCATTAACCTATATATATATATATATATATAAAAGTAACTATTGTAATATGTCTCTATGTACCAAAATTAGGTATCTGAAAACATTGTGCTCAAGACTTTTTTATGATGTAAAAAGCATCTATGAAAAGTTTCATATGTGAAATTGTAGGTTGATGTGTAGTTGAACGAGTAAAATTAACACAAGACAAATCATTTTATGATTAAGATGATAATTCGTTTTAATCAATAATATCAAATTTCACTGAACTCATTTTTAAGAATGTGTTAAACGTGGACAATATTCCCATGTTCAAACAATGAACAAACAAACAAACTGGATGTAAAACAATGGATATAAGGAAATTAGAGTGCAATGTATAGAAAAAACACAAATGAGATATGGAAAGAAAACAAGAACAAATACAAGAATAAAATCAATTTTGAACAATAAATATATATATATATATATATATATAACAGTTGGACGTTTAATTTTTATTGCTTTTTGGTGCAATGATTATTTCATATTCCTTCCTAACTGTGTATACTATAATCTCATCACATCATTGTTGGAAAATTATTTTTTTAATTTTGTTATATAATTAATTTGGGGTGCAAACTTGTATAATTTTGGGGGTGTGAAACTCTATAATTTTGAGAGGTGAAACACCTTTGAAATTATCCTATTAATTACAAGTATAATATGGGGATTTTTTAAATTTTTGGGGGTGCTAGATCCATCATTGACTGAAATTAGTAATGCACAAGAAGGGTGGTGTTGTTAATAATGTACATAATTAGATCTATCCTTGAAACTAATCTGTTAGTGGTGAAGGTGGAAGTAGCATTAGTAAGATTTTAATTCATAAAATGCTTTTTACCTTTCAAAACAAGCTTGTTATGGAGAATAACATTTTTGCCGAAAATATTTTCTACCCAAACAAAAAACAAATGGGACTGTTGATTGTAAAAGAAGTGGATCAGTCTGTCTCACCTTCAGGGGCGACCAAACTACCGATTCTACTGCCTCGAAGTTCCAAATGTTGCAATTCCTGCAGCTGTGCAATCAAACTCAAATCGAGAGACCATGACAATTGGACCGCATTATAATTATTGTTGTCACGAGTATAGTGTAAGAAGATTCTAGTAACACGGTTGGTCGTGAGGCTACAATCAACCCCATCCCATCGACAACAGTCATCGATATCCAAGCTCGAGAAAAATGACACAGGTTGATTGTCCATAGAGAACAACATGGAGTCTCTTATTTGAAGGAGAGTGTTCTTTTCTTCTTCCAAGCAACCTAAACACAGTCCATAACAGCAACAACAAATGATAAGCATCACAACCCATAGCCATTTTAGTAGCCAACCATTGGAATCATGATGGATATAATACTTCTTCATGGTGAACCGACAAACAGCTTGTAATTGTGCTATGGGAAAGAGAGACAGAGGAACTCCTATTAACCGAGGAATATAGCTGCTCTGTTTCTGTTTCTGTTTTTGTTTTCTTTGTTGGTATTTTGGGAAGGGTGCTCAAGACATGGTTGAGGCGCTCCCTCATCAAGTGTAAAACCCGGGTTTGAGTCTTAACGTTGCAAGACGTGGGAAGGCCGGGCTGGGGATGGGTAGAAAATGTTAGGTAGTGATTGGTTTGGTTTTGTTTTGAAATCATGATTTGGATCCAAAAAAATAAAAAATTTTAACTTTTTTTTAAATTTATAACTAAGCAAAATTTTTAAAACTCTTTTAAAAAAATTATTTAAAAAAACTCATAACCAAAAAACTTTTTAAAATTATATTTTTTCAAAAAAAAAATTCAATTTTTTTTTTATTTTGTTCTTTCAAAGTATACACATTTTATACAAGTCTCAAGAGATGAATGCACATGCCATGCCATGCCTTTTTGAAAATAAAACACATCTTCATCTTTTGAAAACCATCATGCTCAATGATGTTATGCAACTTCAACTGTTCAAAGTTTATCAATTTAATTAAAGGAGGCGGTAAATACAACTCTGGTAATCTCTAGATTTATTTTTTTAAAATAACTTTTGTCTAATTTTTTTTAAATAATTAAAAAAATAAAAAAATATTTTGTTCAAAAAATAAAAATAAATAAATAAGTATTTTTTACAAATCAAAAAATTAAATAAAAAATTTAGATTCAAAACTCATAACCAAACAAGTTTTCAAAATATACAACTCAAAAATTAGTTTTAAAACTCTTTTCAAAATTCATAACTAAATAAGTTTTCTCTTTTTCAAACTCATTCAAAAAATTTATCTTTCAAAATATAGCTTAAAACTCATTTCAAAAAATAAACCAAACGGATAGATGTTTCCTAGAAGCATACCTTTACTTTTGTCAAGGTACGGATCGGATTTAATCCGAATCCGACCGGAATCCGAATCCGTTTACAAAAAAATCCGATCCGGTAATCCAATAATCCGAATCCGTTTAATCCGTTTATTAAACGGATTGAATATGTAAAAATCCGATCCGACCTGATAATCCGATAATCCGATCCGACTATTTTCAATTTGAATGAAAAAACATAAAATGCAAAAAAAAAAAAAAAAATCAAATTATATAAAATTGTAGCTCAGTAAATAAATAAATGGATCGGATCGGATTACCAGATCGGATATCTGAAATCATTGGATTCGGATTCGGATATTTATAATCGGATATATATTAAACAGATTCGGATCGGACTCGGATTTGCCTTAATCGGATTCGGATTCGAATTTTGACAGATCCGGTCCGAATCCGATCCAGATCCATTTACAGGCCTAGTGTGGAACAAATGGGAAATGGTTGAAAACGTTATTGACATTTCTAGGTTGGCCATGTTGTCGTGAAAATTAAGACTTTCTAGGAAGGAGCGACAAAACCAAAAAATGGGCAGAGAAAGTGGTACGAGCTTTCTCCATGAAAGGACAGAATAAAGCACACCTTTACTTTTGTCAATGTGTGGAACAAATGGGAAATGGTTTAAAACGTTATTGACATTTCTGGGCTGGCCGTGTTGTTGTGAAAATTAAGACTTTCTAGGAAGGATAGACAAAACCAGGAAATGGGCAGAGAAAGTGATATGTGCTTTCTCCATGAAAGGACAGAATATGGTCAATAATGATAGGTTTTCATTTATTTTTCTCAAGATTTTTTTGTTCATTTATTCATTTTTTATAAAAATTTTGTCCAAGCTTATGTCAGAGCTTATAGACTTAGGTAGAAAGGTGCAAAATTTTGGCCATATTGGTGTGCTAATTTTTTACAATGTAATAATGTTAGGATAGACTAGGATGACTTTATGGTTTTGTTTGTATATGTAAGATGTATTCTATAAATTGGCTTTAAAGCCAACATAATAAAGTATGTAAATTCTCTTCGTCTTAGTGTTGCCTACTTCATCTCTAACTCCAAACTCCATAACTCCATCATAACTCCACAAGAAAAATAATAGGAGAAAGCTCCTTTCCTTTTGTTATTTGTAATTGGTATCAGAGCTTAATGAAGAGCTTTTGAAAGTAAGATCAAGCTATGTAAGTATTTCTATCTATATATGAAACGCCCCAAATTTCTAGCCCAAATGATAATGCAACAATCCTGGCTCTCTCAAAGGAAAACCAAATATAACTTTCCATACTTACATTACATAATAATAATAGTTCCTCATGCGATATTACATTGATTCAACAACAAGTAAATAACTAAATAAGCATTTCCAAGGGTTTACAATCTTCCAAAGCTTAAGCTCGGTACACAAAATGGTTATTCAAACCCACACATACATAGCCCTTGGCTTACAAATAGGATCACAGCAAATGAGAACTTTAGTGCTCTCAACACACACATTTCCACGCCCTCAATTAGGCGGATTCACCACGTATTTTCCTATACAAAAATCCAGTAGGGTGAGCATAAAGCTTAGTAGGAAATCCTTAACAAAGTATACACATTTTATACAAGTCTCAAGAGATGAATGCACATGCCATGCCATGCCTTTTTGAAAATAAAACACATCTTCATCTTTTGAAAACCATCATGCTCAATGATGTTATGCAACTTCAACTGTTCAAAGTTTATCAATTTAATTAAAGGAGGCGGTAAATACAACTCTGGTAATCTCTAGGTCGGTGTCTGCGAGTAGACTATACGAGTACTACCAATTGTCATTTTTACTGGTATTAACCGGAAGATTCGACACCTATCCGCCCGATTTTCTGGTCTTTCATCAAGGACACTCAGACCAACTTAAACAATTTCATCTACACCGCCTATCAAGACTTACCACCGTATTTACCCCAAAACCATTTCATGAAAACCCATTTCCCAACATTCTTTTCTCAATGCGAATTTCCAAAGCTTAACATAGTCCAATGAATTGAAATGCTAATGTATGCTTAATAATGCAATGCAACATTACTTCCATATTCAATTGTTCCACACAATATACCATTGCGATCAAAATTCACAATCCTCTTTTCAACACTCTAACGCCCTCAAAAAAATAACATTAAACCCATCAATATAAACATGCATTGATATAAAAGATAAACATCCTTCTATTCATCAGAGTAACTCATTACAAAAAGTATTACATGTTGACAACAAAAGTAAATGCCCTATGGGCTTACAACTTTCCAAGCCAACACATGGTTACAAGAAGTGAGTGCTAACTCATATACATATTAAGCCCTTGGCTTGAATTTACATGTAATACATCAAAAGAAAACCAACACAACAAAAAGTCTGTCTGCCTCTAGCCTCCCAAGCTATGTCCTTGGAGGTGGCATACTACCTGTACCTGAAAATGATGTCCCATATAGGGTGAGCCACAGCCTAGTAAAAATATACTAAACCAACTATAAACAATGATTAAAATAGCAGCATTTGATATATGGTCCACCCTTATATTCCCACTTAACACATTACAGTTTCATGACATTCAAGTCCATGTTACATTTCATTTCTCATTTCTTTTTCAACTTTGAGTTTGAAAACAAGGCTCAGAACCTAGCCAAACAGCTTAATGAGATTGTGACTCATCTTTAAAACACCTTCGAAATTTATGATGAACACACATTTTGATGCTGCATCAATAACACATAAACCACTTCCATACTTTACGAACGATACACATTTTGATACCGTATCAATACAACATAGAAACACTTCTATACTTCACAATTGATAACGATATACATTTTAGTGCTATATCAAATCAATTCAAACACTTTCACAATTAACACTTGATACACATTTTAGTGCTGTATCAATGTCACACAAAATCCGGTTTAGAGGTCCATCCCCTATCTTCCCCTAAACCGTGGAGTACATCCTCTATCTCCTCCCACACAACACATGTATATAAACATAGATCATATACAGTCAATCAATACATAAAGTTAATGTATTATTCCAACCGCTAAATTCGATAGCATACTCAATCGATTAGTTTTTGTTTACCTAATCATCATGCATTGTCTACAACAATCAAGATTATCCTCCACCGATAGTCCAAAGCAGTTATTTCTAATACAGAAAATAAATGCACCAAATGGATAAAACATCAACATTTCAACTAGGTGAGCGATAAATGAATCCAACTACACCCTTTAATCCCATACATTTCCAATTTCAACATTCTCGACTCAATTTCTCTTTTCTCAAATTAATTTCACAAATTAATTCATCAATGTAATTTGGACATTTCCCGTAATTCACAAAACAACCCTAAGGTTCCATCTCTATCAATAACCCAACATTAATCTCATTTCTCTATGCTATACACGCATATAGGTTTATTATAAATACAACCCCATCTTTTGTAAAATTACACAAAGACCCAAACTTTCTCAAAATTACCCAACAACTCCCAACATATCAAAATGCTAAAATTTAAAGACAAAGCTCATAAGGAGGAGTAGGATATCCCTACCTCGAAGTTAGAGCCCAAACGGAGATGAAGACCAACAATCAAAGTGCTCCAAATCCCAAGTTTTTCAGATTAAAACAAAGCCCTCAACACCCTTTATCTTTTTAACAAAGGACTCAGGGTAGATTCACACTCTAGCTAGATGAAACCTTAGAGAGAAGGCAAGTTTAGAGAGAGAGAGAGTGTCGGTTTCTAGGGTTTTCAAAATAAAGAAGATGAAAAGTGATGTTTTTCCCCGCTGTTGTTTACTGATATAACACAGGCTCGCTCGAGCGACCAGACACAAGAAACCATCGCTCGAGCGAAGAAAGCCTCGCTCGAGCCAAAAACTCGAAGCTTCAGGTCTGCAACCCAGAAGCTCGCTCGAGCGACATAATTCTCGCTTGAGCGAAGAACTCGAAAACATACACCTCGCTCGCTCGAGTGAAGAAAATCTCGCTCGAGCCAAGAAACACAGCTCTCAGGTCCAAAACCAGACGCAGACTCTCGTTCGAGCGAAGGAACTCTGGCTCGAGCCACCAGACACAAGACTCAACTCTCGCTCGAGCGAAGAAACCCTGGCTCGAGCGAAAGACCAAAATTCTTGGCAGCAACCATTTGCTCCCAAATACAACCAACCTGCAACAAACTTGCCCATCACATCCTATAACTCAAATACGAAGTATGAAAGG